ATATCTATGCAATTTACAAAGTTGTTTTCCTTAACATAAATATGTATTAGACGAAAGAAAGATTATAGCTTCTGTGTGTGTGTGTGCATGTAGATCAGTAAATCTATATATATGTATATATTTGTGTATATATAGGTGCGTGTGTGTATAGATGTATGTGTATATTTACGTATGTATATATGTAAACATATGTGTATATGCATATATGCACACACACGCGTGTGTGTATGTATATTTGTATACAGACGTACAGAAGTAAACAGACAAAAATAAAAAGAGACAGGCATATAGAAGCAAACAATGAGAAGGGGTAGAGGGGAAGAAAAGAGGAAAGGAGATAGATAGATAGAGAGAGAGATAGATAGGGGGGGGGGGCAACTGGAGTGTCGTTACTACAGTATACCTACCTGTAATACTCACCTTCCAAAACAAAATCATTGAAGACAAGTCCCTTGAAGCAAAGGACTGGAGAAGACACTCTAAGAGAAACGCTGCTAATTTTCACTCCTTGATATCCAAAACTTCATCAAGAGGAATATTAATGAAAAGAGATTCGCCGAATTAATTCCATACCGCGGCTTGTCTCATTGGTAACTTTCTCCGAGAAGTTCTTTAGAAGTTTTTTAATGCTGGGAGAAGTATTGAAGAAGATGAAATATTACCCAGACAAGATGCTAATGGGGAAACTGACTTATTTGCAGGCTACATAGTAATACGTACTGTGTGTGGGCGGAGTTGATGTTCTAAAACGACCAAAATGAAGGGAATTTCGAAGCAATGTGTTTTCGATTAGTCATATCTTCCCATACGTACTTTAATCTGTCTCAGATGAGGGGTGCGATAAAAAAAAAGTTAGAATAATATATAAAGAAATGATAAACGCCGAATGGGGTATAATGCGTAGAAAGAGAACAATGGGAAATGGGTTAGGAGGGAAAGAAAGGTAATAGCGAGGTAAACAGTTATCAAAATAGATCAAGGACGGGTCAACTTTCATGTCATACTTCTACTTCATGTCACAAGTCCTTACTGGAGTCCGTACGTTTCCAAACAGAGCCATGAATGTCTTCAGGGTGACATAAATAATTGCCACAAAACACATTAATCTTAAACGGCAGATCCAATTATTTATGTGACATATTTGTGATAGCGAGTACATAGTTGTGCGTGTTTGTATCATTGATCAAATTATTATCCTTATGCCATTGATATCACCATAAGAGTAAAAATAATGATTCTTTCTCTCATTTTGTCTGTCCTTCCGCCTGTCAGTCAAGGTTAGGAAATCTTCATCAGAAGATATTTTGTTTTAAATGCATATGCGTTCTCTGACTTTATGTTTTTGCGTATTTCACTTCCTTACTTCTGCGGCACTAAAGTCATTCGTTTCTTTCACCATGTTTTGACCCAGAAAACTGTAAACATCTTTCCAGATTTTTTTTTCTCTCTCCGGGGCTTCATCCGTCAAAGCCAAACGCGCTCACAATGTTTTCCGGTTTTATTTATTTATTTATTATTATTATTATTATTATTATTATTACATCATACATATTATTATACATACATATATATATATATATATATATAATATATATATATATATATATATATATATATATATTATATTATACACATACACACACACACCACACACACACACAACACACACATATATATATATTATATATATATATATATATATATATATATATATATATATATATATTATATATATATATATATATATACATATTTATATATATATTATATATATATATATATAATATATATATATATATATATATATATATTTATATATATATATATATATATATATATATATATATATATATATATATATATATGTATATGTATATATATATATATATATATATATATATATATATATATATATATATATATATATATACATGTATACTATACATATATATGTATGGTATGTATATATATATATATATATATATATATATACATATACATATACATACATATACATACATATACATATACATAGATATACTAATGTATATACGTATATATACATATTCAAAAGAGAGAGAGAACAGTTGCCTCTGAATGCCGTAATTTCATTATTATTAGCTTCATATCGTACGTCTCACAGCAACTGCTAAACTATATGTACACTAATATTTTCGTCTTTTTCAGCATCCTCTTTAATTCGCATGCTTCGCTCACCGACTTCAATATCTAAGACCCAAAATGTTCCTGTCTTTTGTCTTGGGGGAAAAGCGTCTGAAATCTCCTCGATTACCCTTTTAATGAGAAGCTTTCCGAGATAAATGGTTTCCTGTTGTAATGAAGGTTTCATGCCTCAATTTTTCGACTTCTAAGGCAAGAATAATGAAGGGACTACATAATTAAGTCAAGACGATGAGGAGACATCAAATGACGTAAAAGTTTAATGGTGAAAAACGAAGACTATAAAGAGAAGAAAGAAAAAGGATCTTACACGGTTAAAATGAAATAGAAAACGATGTAGATTGGGAGCAAATATTCCTTTCGAGTGCAGATGAAATTTATTGTTGATTGGTCTGATGGATATCAAATTCACACTGCAAACTAATCACAAAGACGAAAAAAAAAGAATAGAATTGAATTCAGGGAGACAGTGAGATTGAGACGTATAAGAAATATTGTACAGAGTTCTTTATTTAGTCTTTTAGACATTTTATAAAGCTATTACCACAGTGAAAAATTCTAAAGCTATATAGTATCCTTCTACCGAGCCTTTTGCAGTTTCATGTATACAAATAACGTATACCATCATACACAAATACATACGATTGAATTTACTACATCGTTTACGTGTTAAATACGCATATATATATATATATATATATATATATATATATATATATATATATATATATATATATATATATATATATATATATATATATATATGTGTGTGTGTGTATACATAACTTATATAACTAATCTCATTTTCCTTGTAGGGGAATATCACTGTGCCTAAGTGATCAAAAGTGCAGTGATGGATGGAATTTGAAAGTGAATAAAATTCTGCAGAGTGGAGTTCTGTCAAGCATCACAACAAAGAAAGAGATTATATTAGTATCAGAAAGGCCATGGCATCAGTACTATGTAGGACTTGAGCTTCTGAATCCTGGAGGACGCACTCCCAGGTTGAGTAAAAGGATGGCGAATGTGAGCCGTCGTTTAAAGGAGTTTTACAGCAGAAGGTGAGAGTGCTCAGAAGTGGTTCTTCTTCTGTTTATGTTCAATGCGGGAACTTCGAGTTATGTTAAAAGGAGATGGTAGAATCAGAGATATCCAGGCAGTGATGTGATATTAAAATCTATTTTCATTCATATAATTAAGTTATCTTGGCCTCCGATGTAAGACAATAAGTGAAGGTGAATATAAAAGGGTAGCTTTAGCGATTTTGAAATTATCCTTTCAGAACGTTTGACATATAAAAAACTACAGTGCTTAGCAGATTATTATTTTTTCTTTCCCTTTCTTTTCATAATCGCCATGGATATAAAGCAGTTACTCATTTATGAACATACCGGTTATTGGAAACCTGTTTCGCTTTTCAAATATATGCAGCATACTTGGCAAGGACGGATAGGGGCAATTTTTGATGGATAAAGTGGATTTACTGAACACTTTTAAAATAATCCAAATGAATTATATTTCCAGGATTTTCAGATAAAACTGCTAGAGAAGATATATGGCCATAAAAAAGAATGAATAAATATATACAAAATCAACTGAAATAATAAAAATGAAAAGCAATTTAGAAAGCAAAAGGACATATAAATAGATAAATAAAGGGCAAGAAAATATACACATGAAAACAACTGGAGATAGGTTGCGGAAGTTTACGAAAGCCTTAACCAGGTAATGCGTTCGCCGCATACCTGAACACCACAATGTAGATCATAATGCCGTTTTCAAAATTCATAACATACACCAAATAAGATTCTGTATATTGAGTGAAAAAAGACTACAGGAGAAAAAATTCTTTTTAAATGGCTCAGGGGGATTCCGGGGGCTCTTGCTAGTTTTATTACCTTTATTTCTTTCGTAGGAAAGTATATTTGTGTCCACTTTTTATGAAAATATGATGAAAAATAAATGACTACACAAATGTATTAACATATTTCATATTTTATACTTGCGATTTGTATTTATATTCAAAACTAAACATGTATTTCCGTCTCACCTTCTATGCTGTTTCCGATCATACCAACTACGTACATTTCTTGCGTAACTGTATCCAAAAAGACCCTTTTTTGTTCTTTTCTCTTACTGTTTACCGGTACCATCTCCAGCGTCTTGTACTCTCCTGCAAGTACCCAAACAATAATAATCTCACTTTGTTCCCCAACTATCCTATCAGTTCTCTCTCTCTAGATAGATTTATGTCTGTGTGGATATGTGATTTAAATACTATTATGTCCCTTTGTTTCATGAACGACTTTACGGTGAATGTTATCTACATAACCGCATTCAGGATTGAAACTGTCTTCGTGAAAAAGCTTATAACGACACGATATAGATTTATCCTGTTTAAAAGGAAAGTAAGAATGGAAAAACATTTCTTCTGCATAGATCATGGTACAGATCAAGGAGCTTCTAAAAATCTTCCTCCAAGAAAAAAATACACAATACTACGAATTGCGTTCCACCGTGTCCGCGTTCGATGCAAACAAAAGAGTGCCATCTACGCTTTGCAATCATGTGTAATAGGTGCTGATGAGACTTTTGTATATACGTATCTCCGTGTGTACATACATATATGCATGTGTTTATGTAACAAAGAAAGAGAGAACATAGAGCCGGAGAGCCTTGTAAAACACACAATTTCGTAAATATACACAGAAAAGAACCTTTCCTTTCCTCTCTCCCTATGCATGTCTCCTTTGTGTAAATGACTATCCCTTTCTCATATATATATATATATATATATATATATATATTATATATATACA